CTAAAACTTATGCAAGAAGAAAATTCAATTAGACTCTGATGGTATATCAAGTCCTTCAAGACTCTGATATAAGGCTCTAATGATATCAACTAGACTTTGTGCACCACATCGTTCTGAAAGTAAAGCTAGAATCTGAGATGAAGATTTATGCAACACTGTTCAGACTCTGATGGTAAACCAGGTCAAATACCTCATCAAAATCTGATAGCAAGCCATAATTTGAGATGAAGATTTCTGTATCGCTAGTCAGAAGTGTGATAAGTCTTTAATTAGGGAAGTATTCCTTCGTTCTGATTGATTTTTGCTTTTTCTCAAAACATATTTAAGTCTTGAACTCAGGGGGAGACCTTGAACAAGATTAAGCAAGTCATGGTATCATAGGACTAAAGGGAGTTGCTTAGCTACCTCTAAATTTTTTATGTGATTAAACTGGTATAAATTGTTTATCAAAATATATGGTTTTGTCATCATAAAAAAGGGGGAGATTGTAAGAATAAGATTTGGTTCTGCATATGGCCTTGAGCTTTGATGATAACGTTACATGGGTGATTAGATAACAATTTAGTACCTCAATAGTTTGTTTAGTGTGTATCTTTTTCTAACATGTTCTGACTCTAAAGAATTTATTTGTGACGTCATCAGTTTCTGGACTCAACACACTGAAGAATAAAAGTTTGTGTTTCATAACTTAGAAGGCGTCTTAAAACAATGGTTCTGATGAATGTTAGTTGTATTACTTCTATTTGTGACTCTGTAGTAGAGCTTTTGATATGTTCTCAAGCTCTGAAGATTCCCAGTTATCTTTCCAATTTCTAAAGAATTCTAAAGACAAGGTTTTATTAAACGAGTTCTGAAGATTTTGAAGATCAACGATTCTCTAGACCAACTTCTGAAGACTCTTAAGACAAGGTTCGTGTTGAACAAATTCTGAAGACTCTGATGACATGGTTTTGGAGACTTATCTTGGATCCTTTTACGCATGATTCAACCATTATACACCCAAAAGCCTCTGAAGATTATAAGAGAATATCAAAAGGGTTCGCGTGAGTAATAATACAAGGTACAACATCACCTCGCCTCTAATATGTTGTTTTTATGGCGCAAGAACAGTACGATTGTATGAGGTTGTCTACCACTCTCACTAACTGTTGCAAGAAGACAACTGGAATTTTGGTATCCATATTCTACCCTCCAACAGATTTCTTTTTGTCTATAAAAAGAAGACTTGGAAGAATTAGAATCATTGAAGAACTTTGAAGAAACTCACGCTTATTCAAATTGATGAAATGCTGCCAAAATAACTCTGTAATTTTTGTAAAGCGAGGAATTATTGCTCATTAACTTACTAGCAAGGAAATTTTATTGGTTAACTTTCTTAAAACTTTTTTTTTATTATCTATACTTCAATCTTGTGTAATCTTCTTTTGAAAAGCAATCTTGTAAACACAAAAACATGTATTCAATAGTGAGTTGATAGTTCCTTGAGTGACTAGGTGTTAGCTTGTATACTCAAGAAGTCATTGACGGTTGGTCTTTGAGGTTTTGTTCCTTGAGAGACTAGAGTTCTAGTCAGGATTCTCAAGAAGATATTAACAGTTGGTCTTTGTGGTTTGCAACAGTGACGATTAGTCTTATTGTGGTTCTGTAATCAGTTTGGTTATAGTGGATTAAGTCCTTATTGAGAAGGCAAAATCACCTTGGTGGGTGGACTGGATTAACTTCGTTAACAGTGAACCAGGATAAAAATAATTGTGTAATTTATTTTTATTCTTCTGTTAAGATTTGGTGTTTGAGTTTCTAGAAAATTTATTTTGTGAAACCTAACTCAAACTCCCATTTCTTGTGTTTCTTGCACCTTCAGTGTCAACTAGTCCAAGATCTTTCATCTTCAAAGTGTAAGTTAGGCACTTGTTTGTTTCTAAAATTCCATTAATCTCGTTTCTAATGATCAACATGTCATCAACATATAGACAAAGGAATATCACAATGTTCTCACACACCTTTGTGTACAAAGGCTTATAACAAGAACTATGAACAAATCCATTTGAAAGTATGACATAGTCAAACTTTTGATGTTATTGTTTCAGTACTTATTTTAGTCTATACAAGGATTTGACAAACTTACACGCCTTTTATTCATTACATGGAAGCACATAAGCTTTCAATTGCTCCATGTAAATCTCTTCATCGGGATATCCATTTAGGAACTATTTTTTAACATCCATTTGATGAACTATAAGGTCATGCAAAAAAGTTAATGTAAACAAAACTATAATTGTCGTCTTCCTCTCTACAAGCTCATATGTGTTGAAATAATCAACACCTTCCTTTTGTCTAAAATTATTGGCTACTAATATATTCTTGTAGGTATTTAGCGTACCATCACTAAAGATTAATGAAATACTTATTTCCCCTCGAGAGTTAACATGTCGTTAAATTCACATAAATCTGAATGCACAAGATCAAGCAAGTTGATATTTCTTTCTACACCGTGGAAAGGTTTCTTAATCATTTTCAGTTTAACAAATATTTCACATTTTTAAAAATTATTAACATCACATAAAATTAAACCTAATTTAATTAATCTTTTTATAGTACTAATACCAACATGAGCTAATCTACTATGCCATAAAGAAATGGATTCAATCATATTAGAAAAAATATAAACTTTATTAATAATGATGTCAATAGTACGAAGATTAGTTATTCTCTCATTGGAATAACTCTTTCTCACAAATACATCATTATGAATCAAGATTAAATTGTTTGATTCATACACAAATTCAATATCTGGTTTTCTAAAAGATCCCCACTAACAAGGTACTTATTCATGTCAGGAAGATGAAGTACATTAATAAGAGTAACTTTCTTTCCATAAGTGAAGTTGAGTTCCAAGATTTCCATTTCAACGACTCTCAAACGTCCTTCACTTCCCATTTGAACCTCTTGTCCATCAGTGACTTTAGAATAGGTTTGAATATCGTTTGTCATAGGAAACATGGACAATAGCACAAGTATCATACCAACATCCATTTACCTTGCCTTTGATCGCCATAATTCACCCACAATAGCAATTATGTCATCATTGGCTTGAACAAAATTTGCCTTGTTTTGGGACTTATTATTCTTGCAATCTCGAGCATCATGATTGTGTTTGTTACACACATAATAGACGTCTTTTGGGCCATTTGATCCACCGGAATTCTTGAACTTATTTTGATTCTTCTTAGAGCCAAGATAGTTCTTATTACCATCTTGTTTCTTCTCTCCTTTTACGCTCACCGCGTTGGCCTTAGAATATCCAACAACCTCAAATTTCTCTATATCTTTTTTTTTCACCTCGATCAAAAGATGTTTTTGGATTTGTTTCAGTGAGAAGTCCTCAGAATTGTGAATCAATTTCTTCCTATATATTTTTCAGGAATATGACAATTTCACAATAATTGCACTAACTTGGAAAGCTTAAAGAATGTAGATATTCATGGTCCTAAATTTATTTACAAGAAATTGTAACTTGTGCATTTGTGCAAGTATAGACTTTGAATGTAACATTTTAAAATTAAAATACTTTGAAATCAGAAACTTTTTAGTACCTTCCTCTTTAGTATGAAATTTAAACTCGAGAGGAAATTGGATAGTGTGTTCAGAATGTATCCACGGAAAAGGTGATTCATTCCCCTTTCGCTTCTTGCATTCTGCCTTGAGTTCCTTGAAATCTTAGTCTTGTGATTTTGGAATCAATGCCAATTGAGTATCCAAGACATAAAAGATCTTTAAAGCACTCAGGAGAAAGATCACCTTGTCTTGTCAGCGAGTGAAGTTTTTCCCATCGATATAGTCCAACTTCACAAGGTATTGGTTCATCACTTTGATTCTTGAAACGGAAGCCTAGATTGCCATTATTTGAGATATTATTAGATTTGTTAGAAATTGATTGTAAATTAGATGGATTAATGCTAGAATTGTGCATATGAACAATTTCCTAATAGTATTTCAAGCACTCTCTAAATTGTCTTAGAGTCTACTGCATGAACATTCAGGATAATTCAGTTTATTTCGAGTTTGCACAAGACATATGAAAACTCGAATACATGAAAGAAAGAAATCTAGAATTAAGCAATGAAGAAGAGGATTCAAATTGCATTGTTTTGCGACTCTTATCCTCTAGTCCTAGAGATTGTCTGTCGGAGAAAAAGTGTGAAGATGACAAGTGACATATGATTTTGGACCACGACATTCATCTATGAAACAATATTACCTCTTTAAATCCTTGATGATTAAAGAGGTAAGAATGTCACATGGATGAGTGTACTGATCTCAAGTCTTATGTCACTTTGACCTTCACACCAACTCTATATAAAGAGCATTAAAGTTTAATATAGAACTATTTCTTACACATTAAATGCTCACTTATCACTTGTATCATATTATTATTGAAACACTACAATAATTATGTATTTAATTAATTTCTTTATTAACTAATAATTACAAACAACATAATAAAAGGTTTAAAGTAATAATTTATAACTCGGGGCGTAATACTTGCAGGGTAAATAAAAAAAAAATTTACATGAGATAATATTTATATCTAAAAGACAAAAGACTTAGAATTTTAACATTTTAAAAGGGTGTTCAAACATTTTTTTAAAGGGAATAAATTAAAACTCGTTTATATTATAGAAGGTAAATGACTATTAATCTTTTATAAATACTTTAAACAAACACGGAAATGCAAAAAAATTAGTGTCACAAAAATAAATTAGAAATTCACGAAACAAACGCCCCCTTAATTTCATTTGATTATTGTTTTAAGATTCCTTAATTAACTACTTACATTGAATTATTTTACCATTCAAACTATAATATACTGTGTAATATTTACTTCTCTATCACCTTTTCTCTTTGCTTTGCTTATAAATAATCACTTCTCACTTTTAAGTTCTCAAAGGCAAACAAGAAATAAGAGAGAGAAAGACAGAAGGATCGTGCATGCCATATTCATGGAGTCTACAAAGAATTTGCTGCCACTATCTAATGATATGAAAGAGAGCAAAGAAACAGAACGTAAAGTTCCAACCATGACAAGAAAAGGAGTTTATACTGCTTTATCTTACATGACTTCTTCAGGTTTGTTTTTACCTCTTCAAATTCATCATTTTCAACATAATTATAAAAATGTAAAAGATTTATAAAATTAATAATGCTGAGTATAAGTTTATATACTTTAAATTTTTGAAATGTTTTTTTTATAAATTACATTGAAATTAATATTTATTAATAGGAATCACAAATAAAATAACTAAAGAAAACTTTCCCGTTAAAATTAAAAATATAAAAAAATCAGAGATTAGAAGTATAAAAGATAACTTAGTATGAAGCTTTCTACTAACATGTTATAAAAAATAATAATAATAATAAAGTACAAATTCTTAAATAATGACTGAAATTTCAAACTGTCAAGAAAGAAGAGTGGTGATTATCATAAAGCTTGAGGTGAAAAATAATAAGAAGTTGAAATAAACCAATCAAAAGCAAACAAGTGTAGTAAGGAACCATTTTGATATGAATTCTTTTAGGAGATTAATGGCCCAGTAGATGTAGCTGCATGTGGCTTAGTTAGTGCTATATTTTGAAATGATCATTAACATACACGTATGTGTATAAAAATTCAAGACATAAATATATTTAAATGATGAGATGTGTTATGATAAAGATGTGTGGAAAAAGACTAACATAATACTTGTGTAGTGCTTATTTATATTATTGATTAAGGAGTGTACGGATGATTGCACACCCTTGGAAATGTGTCTTTTTGTCTAACATATCTTAAGACTTTTTGATTCTAGATATGGCATATAATTTAGAAAACTATATTATCTCTTAGGGTTCATCTTTATGTCTTATATCATTGATTGATAAAAACAATTTAGGCTCTAGTTCCACTTTGTATGAGATGTGCAACGTGCTATTTTAGTTCATATCTTGATCAGTGCTATAATAATGTTGTTTTGTTGTTTTTAGGCTGTAAAGTAGATAGATTAGCATGCTTTATTACTACACTAAAATATTACATGATTGTTCAAGTTGGAGTTGCGATCTATTGTTGTCTTCTTGTGGAAATGTACTTTCTTTTCTTCTTTAGTATTTTTTTTTTCATTAAAATTTAGTTTATATTATAAGATTAAATAAATTAATAATTATTGTAATTGTGGAGCCCTTAAATGGGGCGGCATATGTTCCTCGTCAAATGTCCGTCTCATGTAAGGTACAACCCTCATGTGGCAGGAGGTTTACTATAAGGGAAAAACATGAACATAATGATTATTTCAGGCCATAATTGTCTCGAAATTATGTTTATGATTTTCTAAAAAATAGGTAGTTAATAGCTCTCTTAGTTAAGAGAGAGTAGTTACTACTCTTTAAGAGTTTCTTAAATTTTAAGTTTATAAGTCCCTATAAATATCTCACCTTCTGACTGAGAGGGACATATCGTAATACACATGATATACCTTAAAATCTACAGGACTTCTCACCTCACATGAGTTTGCACTCTCATAATCGTAAACACCATCAAATAGAGTCTCTCACCACCGTGAATAAGCTTTAATTCACAAAAAAAAAAATACTAAGGCATCTGGTCACCCCTACCAACATAGGAGTGTCACGCATTTTCTACTTTTTGACAAGTACAGTGGCGGCCACCATGGACCCGGTAAAACTAATTTGGACCACACTTATCGTTATCATCATCACTTTGATACTCACTGAAACCTCCACTCCTAGACCTAATTGTTATTAATCATAGCCGTTAGGATGGCACGATCTCTCATGCCGAAGGACACCAGAGGTAGCAGTGATTTTAATGCCTTAATGGAAATATGTGTCGCCATAGACGAACCGCACTGTCAAAATCATAACCTATAGGACAATATCCATAACATCCAACAACAATAGTAGAAGGATACCCCCAAAAGAAATATGGAATTGATAGACCCTTAGTCACATTCAGACAAAATATGAGAAGTCTTTATCTCTAAAGGGTTTAAGCCTCCCTCCTTGACAAAGTTTGATGGGAGTAGTGATCCTTATGAGCATGTCGCCTTTATCAACACACAAATGGCCATCATCGGAGCGTCTGACTCTTTAAAGTGAAAACGATTGTCTGAAACTTTCAAAATGGACATTGCATTGGTACATGGGTCTACCCCTTTCCATAGCTAGCTATCAAGAGCTGGTGAAGAAACTCGTGCACCAGTTCACAGCCAATCGATACAGGATGATATCCACTGGTAGTTGTTTAACATACAACAAGATCCTTCAGAGTTACTGAGGGAATATCTCGCCCATTTTAATGAAGCTACCATAAGGGTCATCCACTCAAACCAAGAAATGTTTGTGGAGGTGTTCTAGAATGGTCTCGAAGCAGGACACTCCAACGAGTCTCTTGTCCAAAGCACAATATCTTCGTTACTAGAGTTGGTCACAAGGGAGGAATACTAAATAAAGGGCGAAGAAAGCAATGTCGAGAAAAAATCCTAAGACATAAAATAGGGTGTACCTAATAGCGAAGGTTCGGAACATCCATGGAAGAGCAATTATACCTTGCCTAACAAAGACAAAGTTGCATTCAAGTGAGTTGGAAAAACGGTGGAGAGCTTCACACCCCTGAGCACTCGCAATGAAGAGATCTAACGGGAGGCTCTCCACTTACATGATATCCTGCGCCTCTAGCCCCAAAGGCAATAGTTATGGGACCTGAGTCAGGAAAATGGTGTAAGTTTCATAAAATTAAAGCACGCCATACAAAAGACTGCTATCAACTCAAGAAGGAGATCGAGTGATTGATATATGAGAGACACCTGAAAATGTATGTTAAAGGTGATCCTTCCCAAAGGTCAGGCAGGTCCAACTCTCAAGGGAGGGACGACGTGGGAAGCCCCGGATCTAGAAAAAGAAATTAGTCATCCAAAAAAGAGAGCGACAAGGTCGTACGCCATACACTTAATACAATTTCAGGAGGATTCTCTAGGAGCATGGAGACTAACTCCACTCGTAAAAGGTATTGTCTGTCGGGTGTTGAATCTAGAAGATCTTTCTAAGGAGTTGAAAGAAGGTGAGACACAGACGCAACAGACATACATCCCCACAATGACAACCACATGGTTATCATTGTTAGGTGCAATGACAACATAAAAGCAAAACAACGTAAATATGTCGTTTCTAACCAGAGTTTGTGGAGAACAACACACAAGTTGCAACTGGTGCACTCATACATTTATAGTCTCATTACTCTTGAGTCAAACGGCAGAAAAAAATACTTTATCACCATCACAGATGATTTTAGTAGAAAGACGTAGACTTATTTTTTAAGTGAAAACTCAGAAGCATTTGAAGTATTTCAAAATTTTAAAGGTCTTGTTAAAAGAGAATGAAGTTGTAAAATTCTATGTTCAGAAACTGATAGAGAAGAAGATGAATATACTTCTACTTATTTTAATGAGTTATTTTAGGCTTGTGGGATTAGGATACAACTCATGGTTGTCTATAATCCTCAACAAAATGGAGTATTTTAGAGGAAGAACATAGCCACATTGAATATGGTTAGATGCATGTTTAATGAAAACAATGTGCCAAAGAAGTTTTGTCTAGAAGCAGTCAAGTGGTTAGTTCATGTTTTGAATATGTTTGCTAGCTTTGTTGTAACGAATATCACACCAAAAGAGGAATGAAAATTTAGGTGGAACAAGATGATCTTGCCTATGAAAGCAACAAGACATACAAGTCTTTCCTCCCAGTGAAGATCAAACCACATATGAAGAAGTTGTCAAGCATGAAAGTTGTAGAAAGACTATGGATTTGTAAATAGAAGCTATTGAGGACAATGACACATGAGAATTGTTTTGATGCTGCGTATAATCAGTTTAGTGGAGGCTTTGTTGAGGTTTAACCTCATTGCTCAGTGAAACAACAGTATAGAGAACTGATGCAGCTGTTTTCTTGTCATATATCTTAATTGTTAGAGTAAATATGATTTTCCATTATATAACAACTTATTGAAATAATTGCTTTTTGTACAGTGCTTTTGGTCATGTTCAATAAAGCAGCTCTCACTTCTTACAATTTCCCATTTTCAAATGTCATCACACTTTCTCAGGTAATTCAATTTTCAACATTATTTGTGACTCTTCTTTTTCATGCTGATAAACTATGCACTTATATATATGTAAGGTTTGTTTCAGATGGTGTGTGCATTTGTTATTCTCTATGTCTTGAAATCCTTCAACATAATTTCTTTCACAACTGGTGAATCCCATAACAACTCTGAGTCTAAAAACTCAATATTATTTGTGCCCTTCAGTACATTAGTCCACACATTTCCTCTAGCAATAACATATTTGTTGTACATGGTAAGCATTTCAAAACATTAGTTTTTGATTTGTAAACATTAATTTTCATAGACTAAATAAGAACATAAGTTTTCAGGTGGTGACTATGGAAGCTGTGCGCGGCATTAATATTCCAATGTACACCACTCTCAGAAGAACTATTGTCGCATTCACAATGATCATGGAGTATTTTCTATCCGGGAAGAAACATTCAAGATTTGTTCTTGGAAGGTATGGTACTCTCATTGTTCTTCTATTCAGTTTAGTTCTGTGTAAGTTATTCAGTTTCTTGTGATTATTAGTGTTGGGATAATCATAGTTGGTGCTTTGGTTGCTGGAGCAAGAGACTTATCATTTGATGCTTATGCTTATTCAGTTGTTTTCATAGAAAACATGTGCAAAGCAGTGTACCTTGCTTCTATCTCTCGTGCTGGTAAGATGAACAATGTTTGTTGTTATGTCTCATTCTTTGTACTGTTTTTTGAGTCTGTAAATGAAAATCTCATACACTACTTGACAATTTTTCATAGGTAAAGCTAGTGGTCTTAACATATTTGGTCTTGTATGGAGCAATGGTGAGGTTTCATTGATTTTGAACATCATAGTAAATGGACTCATCTTAACTTAACCCTTGCTTGTTTTCTAGTGTTGATTTGTGGACCAATATTGTTCTTTTGGTCCTTGCTAAGAGGTGACCTACAATCAACACTCAACTTCCCATACTTGCTCTACCCTGGATTTCAGGTGCTTCTTATTGTCATTGTTATTACTCATTTGATAATTTTGAGGCATTATTTGATTAACTGTATTGGAATATTGGTCAGGTTGTGATGGTTTTGTCATGTGCTTTCACTTTCTTTATAAACTACATTGTGGTTTTAAATACAACTGTCAACTCAGCACTTACACAGGCAATTTGTGGTAATTTAAAGGTTAGTTATGTTTCAACATCATGTTGTTTATTTTCTACATCAACTGCCTAATGCATGGAACCTGATTCTTAGTTCTTGTACAGGATGTTTTTACTAGTGGCTTTGGATGGATATTGTTTGGAGGACTTCCATATGATTTGGTAAACACAAATCCCTTTGGGGGACTTAAATTCTTCATTGGTGTAAACTATTTATTATGTCTTGTGTTTTGTTATCATGCAGTTCAATCTTCTTGGTCAATCACTTGGATTCTTTGGGTCCTGTTTGTATGCCTATTGTAAGCTTCAAGGAAAATGAAGATGACAATTTTCTTTTTGAGATCAGACGCAGTAAACTGGATTTCTCTTCAAGTTTCTATTTTCATATATATTTTAAGAAATGTATTTTAGTTGCAATGTGAATGTGAAGGTAGAATGGTGCAATTTTATACCATGCCCATTCAGATTTTGTTCTTATAGATTCGTATTCTGAAAACACATATCAGATGAAAAATCTCAACCATATGTTGATATTATGTTGAACAATCCTACTGCTAGCTTCGGCGCAGGTGTTTTGAGAGTGAACTTTCTTCGTAAAATTAGTTTTCTTTGTTCTCAATACCTAAATATTCTGCAAAATATTGTTTTATTTACACCTATATTCATTTTAGAATGCAGGAAAACTTTAGAACCTCGACTTGCACCCGCTACCGGGGGAGATCCCATTTGGAGACTCAAAGATGAAAAATATTCCTCTATAGGAAAGCCAACATACCCTCTGTCCCGTAAATTGTCCGCCTCATCCTGTCTAATTTTTAAATAATATTGTTGATTAATATATAATTTTAAATTTTTGTATAGGTTTATCTATCACTTTTGTATAATTTATTTATTTTTAATTTTTTAAACTTTGAAAATTTGGTAATCAGGACGCTCATAAGTATAAATTAAATATTATCCAAACAATAAAAATTTTATAGAGAATTAATTTCTTAATTTTTTATAGTTAGTTTTGAAATTTTTTTATTAATTTAATTAAAAATAATAATGATATTTTTTATGGTTATGGATCTCTATAGGATTCATGGGGACATATGTGGAGATCTGAGACAGAGATGGAAAATAGATTTGAGGGCTGAGAACATAATAGAGACTTATCCCCCACTCCGCCCCATTGACATTCAAAGGGCAAATTGACAATTATTGTGATGCTGAAGGGGCTAATGATACCTTAAGAAGTGTTTGTTTTAAGTTATAAAAAAATTTGAAATCATATAGGTAGTTAAGTTTGAAAAAAAATATATAAATAACCATATTTTGAAACAAAAAAATACACAAATAACTATGTTTCGAAGAAAATTACGCAAATAACCATGTTTTAGAAAATGTTATAATGTAGTAGACATCTCAGCTGGCACATGCATTACTTTTTTTAAAGGAGGCGCCAAGTGAGATGGCGCCTAGGTGCATGTCATTTGCCTTAAGCCATCTCAGATGGCGCCTATGTACAAAGTACCTTTTTTTTGTTAAGGAATTAAAAGACAATGTCGTTGTAAATAAAAGTTGATTTTTATTAATAATTAAAAGATTACATAATGAGAATAAAAATTACACATTATTTAGTTGTCTCCAAGGACTCAATAAAGACCCGTAGTTCTGCACTTGCGTCCTCCCCTAACTTGTGGTGCGTTTCGACGTATTTTTTGTTGCGGTTGGGTCGAGGGCCCTGCGAAGTCAATGCGTTCAGGATCCATGAAAGTCGTCAGATCATCATATCCGGAAGATCCTCTTTCAAACAGTCGGTTACCCATGCCCTCAAAGTTTGGTCGTATTGGTTAGGGGTGAGGTTCCATAGGGGGTCGATAGCACTAGTCGTCTGAATAAGGGGGTAAAAAGGAAATGAATCTTGTGGGGGTTTGGTACTGTGATTATTTGGTGCTATGGTGATAGGATGGTTGATGGTAAGTTGGGTTGGTTGGTGAATATTCTTCAGGTTGGCCAATGTATGGGCTAAGGTGAGACGACGAGGGGCCCACATCAGGATGTTGGATGTATGGCCGTTGTTCTTGGTATTGTGATTGTGTGTGGGGCATGTTGGTGTATTGGTATTGGTCTTGGGTTTGGGGTTGGGTGCTGGTGGATCTGTATTGTCGTTGTGTTTGGTGGGAGGTTGGTGTGTGTTGGGTTTGTTGTTGGGGTTGTTGTTGTGTGATGTATGATTGTGCCTATTGTGTACGTGGGTCGATCAAATACCTCGGGTGAGACACGTGCATTTCAGGGTTAATAGTCGATATGTACCAATCAATATACTGATTTGTGTGTCGCATATTAATCTAGTTATGGAAAATAGGAAATTGTAAGACATATTGGTGACGCCTACGCCACATCTTACACCATTCTGGAGTAAAACCTTTCCAATTATTAACACTCCATTGGGTGTCAACCCTTTTGAGATGCCAAGGTGACAAAGAAGTTGGATCACATGGTATTTCTTGATGCATTCTGAACTACATCTTGACACGGTCGTTGTGGTGCATCTCCATAATGTTGAACCGTATGATTGCAGTCTTTGCAGTCCAAACTGATGCATCCTCAGAGTTAGGTTCATGGTCCAAACACAAGGTCTACAGATAAATTATGGATAAAAATTAATCAGAATAATGAAAATGTGAAAAATAAATAATTTAAAAGTAGAAAAGTTTAGAGGTACCACGTACATCATCCAGGCCAAGGTGGTCCAGAAGATTACGGTATAAAGCGACATTGAATCTTGGATTCTTGTTGTAATCCATACCCCTTACAAAGTACCTAAAGGGATGGAAAAATAATAATTTTATACATCTATTTGGAGAAAGAATGAATAATAAATTATTTAAGCTATTGACTTACTTTGTTGCGTAGGAGAAAATGAATGCATTGTTGTTGACAGGGTTTAGGGACTCCATTCTCCACCAACCCCGTGCTTGGAGCAAGAAAGCGCATCCAAAAAAAGTACATTTGTCGTTTGTTGCATTTTTACATAATGAACTGTATAGTTGGGCTAAAACAGCGGAACCCTAACTATACTTTCTTGTTTTATCAAAGTTCCTAAGCAAACTTGAATACATAAAATTTACACTATTCCATGTACTTTCGGGAAATAACAGGCTTCCAAATAGTATCATAATATAATTTATAGCTTTAATTATTTTTGCCTCATCGGTCGAATTTTCATTCAACTCAAGATTCTCATAATGTTTTTTAAGTACGATTAGTAATATACCTTGGCCCCTATCACCAGTTGCTTCTACCATATCTTTGTTCAACAATTCCCCGCATAGAGAATTGGGTTGTTCAACTGACTCATTCACCGTCTTACCATTGATAAGGAGATCCAATAACATGTACATGTCCTCTAGTGTGACGGTACATTTACCTATTGGCAGATGAAAGGTGTGTGTCTCGGATCTCCACATTTCCAACGTTGCAAGAATAAATTTGGAATCTGTTCTGGACTGGGCCCGACAGGCCCAAAAGCATTACTAAGGCCCAGTCCAAAGGGACTCACTAAGGACCACACTGGGCAAAGGGGTCGCGTCCATGCCCGACACCCTGATGTCCACCTCGACATCTCGATGTCCAGCCCCACGCGGTGAAGTCATGCTCGACACCCTGCCGTCCGGCTCTGTGTCCTGACGTCCAGCTCGACACTCGCTGTTCAGCTTGAGGTCTTGGCGTCGAGCTCGGCACCGTGCTGCTCAGCTCGACATGGTCTCGAGCTACCTGGCTAGGGCAGACTCAGTCCACCGTTGCCCCAACGATACTCCGGAAAGACCGCGTCTCTGTCCGCCCGCACTTCACGCAGCACATCCAGGAAGGGGACCACGTGCTGGTCCCCACTACCCACGTAGAACCTGGCAGTTCCTCCATTGGGCCAAATCCGCCCGGCCCAATGAAGGAACCTTGGCCCAGCGCTGGGGGCTATAAATACCTTCTGTTTCCAGAGGGTCAGGTATTCATCATTCTAACCTCAACTCTATTATCTGCTCGTACTCCCACTGACTTTAGCATCGGAGTGCCTTGCAGGTACCCCCCCCCCCCCCTCCTCGTTCAAAAAGCCTTCAGCTCGGAGCAAGCCGTGACGGTCCAAACCTTCTGATCAGGTCAGATCAGTGGCGCCGTCTGTGGGAAACAGCTTCCCCGTCTAACGAACAATTCCAAAGACTAAAGCTCAATCCAATTACCTGTCATGGCTGATCCAGCTCGTGAAGAACAGCACACCCGCGTCACCGACACCAACAACGGTCCCGCGGACAAGAATGGGCACCTGGACAATCCCAGTGATGCCGGCCACAATGCCATCCCCGTGACAACCGCCCCTGGACCTTCCACCCGCAGGGACGGGAACACTGCGTCATCCTCGACGACTCCTCCAAGACTCGAAGACGACCCGGAGGCTCTCGCCTATCGCCAAGCTGCCCGGTTCTATGAAGTCCAAGTCCCTGCCGGGGCAGATGCCACGACTCAGGCACTGTTCGCGGCCATCAACCAGACAAATTATCTCCTATTCGCCCAAGGAGAAAGACTAAGGGCACTTAAACATGATCGACGACCCCCGAGGAGGCATCAGAGGCCACCATCTCCACCTCCCCGGGTAGAAGAAGTTCGACACCCTACTCCTCCGCGGAGACATTACAGGGAGAACTCTAGGAGCCCCTCTCCCCCACCAAGGCAGAGGCGGCCCCAGTATGAAAGACAGCCCGTCATCCCTACCGAAGAGCCCAGTCGCGACCCATCAAGGCACGACAGGAGACACAACAGAGACGGGCGTGTGACCTTCAACCACCGAGCATCACGCTCGAGGGAACCTCAGCACGACCATCGTGCCCGGCATAACTACAGGACCCCTTCTCTTTCTCCAGAAAGGAGCGACGAGGACGACCCCCGCGGTCCCCTGTCGCAGGCCATCATGGACGCACCTATTCCTCCGGGCATGGAAAAGCCCTCACACCTGAAGGAGTATGATGGAGTGGCAGACCCAGTCGACCACATTGACGGGTTCGAAGCCATGCTCCACTATCACAATGTCGGGGGGCCCATCAAGTGCCGTCTCTTCCCAACAACTCTCAGGAAGGCGGCCATGGACTGGTACAAAGGACTCGCCCCGGGCTCCATAACCTCATGGCGGAACCTGAAGAACCAGTTCATCAGTTCCTTCACAGCTTCCCGTCGTCACCCGAAGACTGAGGCAGCCCTCGAGGCCATCATTCAAAGACATGATGAGACCTTGAGGGAATTCATCAACCGCTTCAACCGGGAAGCAATACAGGTCCCCTGCGCGGACCATATGAAAAGGTACTTACTGGAGAGGGGCCTTCTCCCCGGCACAGAATTCAGAAAAGCTGTGGGCATTGAGCCACCTGCAACTTTTGATGCTCTCCTCGACAAAGCCCGAGCATACATGGACTACGAGGAGAGAGAAGCTGCCAACAGGGCACGAGACTCCAGGGCTCGCAATCACAGCAGCAGCTCGAGACAAGACCCTCCTCCCCGACGGACCGGAGAGAAGAGGAAGGAAGATAGACCCCGGGAGGTCCGGGAACAAAGGGGCCCCTCGGGCCGGTTTACTGAGTACACTCCGCTCACGGCTTCCCGCGAGCGTATTCTGGCGGAGTGTGCTAGCACAGATTTTAAAGACGGTGGCGTCAAGCGTCCCCGACCAGCTCCTGCCAAGCCAGGAGTAGACAAAAACAAGTACTGTCAGTACCATAGGAGTCATGGTCACTTGACAGAGGACTGCGTCCACCTGAAGGACGCCATCGAAACCCTCATCAAAGGAGGGAGGCTTGCACAGTACAGGCGAAACGACGCTCCCCGTCGTGACGCCCGCGAGGCAAAGGAGCCCGAAGAAGATGCCCGACCATCTGACAAGTCGGTGCCAATCCAGACCGCCTTCTCGGTAACCAGGCCCGAGGATTTCGAACTTCCCGAGCTCCTGCAGGAGCCCCTGACTACACACAGCAGGTGGGAATACTTCCCCTCCGCCATGGTCATCAACGGGGGCGGGTTCAACGACCTCACCATCAACTCAGCCAAGAGGAAGTTGGACGAACTGGTCGACAAAGCTCCTCCACAAACTGTGACTTTCGAAATGGTCAGAGGCAGATCAGAGCCTATCACCTTCTACTTGGAAGAGCTCCCCGGCGGAGCACCGAACG